GCCACCACCTCCACACCTTTAGGCACATGGATTAGGACATCCCATGGGGTAGTGGGATCCAGTGTATAGAATTTGCTTGTTTTTCTCTCCTGTTCTGCCACCGCTGTGCCTCACCAATAAGGCATTTGAACTCAAAGCATGGAACAGCTAAGCAGACAAGTTGTAACCATTTTAAATTATTGATAGTAAGCTCCTCCCATTTATTAATAACAATGTCTCTGTGCTTCAAGGAGAGCTTCAGCCTTTGTAGCATTTTCTTTGCCCTCCTCTGGAATGCTGGTCACTTGAGAGTTGTGAAAACAGCCTGGAGAACCATATTTTGACCATCTGGATGCAGTGTCTGGTCAGTTTAATCTTTTTGCAGGAGATTTGCTTAAATGTTGTGAAGCTGTTTTCAAGAATGAAACAAATGTTTCAACAATAAAGCAAATGATGAAACAAGAGGATGGAGCGGAGGCATTGGAATTCCTCGTGCAGGTCAGGTCTTATTGCAGTACAGGAGTATGGTGATCACAACTCTTCTGGACATTAGGACTTTGGTTGACAAACACCATATACTATATTTTATGGAAGTCTGAGCTGGTACAGTTGATCCAATGTTGGATCTCCTTTTCAATGCCAACCTTTTGAGAGAGGCAGCTGCCAAAGACATTTTGTATAAGGTAATAGTTCTGAAAGGGTTAATGCTGAAGATTGCATTAAGCTCCACTCAATCCGATGACATCATTGGGATTGGGTGGAGAAAGGTGGAATTTTTTATTTGATTTGATTTATTGCAGTCACTTGTACTGAGGTACAGTGAAAATTGTTGTCTTACATGCTTTACAGGCAGATCATACCATACAAAGTACATGAGGATAACAGAACAGAGTGTGGGATACAATGTTACAGCTGCCAAGAGGGTGCAGAGAGAGATCAACATTAGCATTTAAGAGATCCATTTAAAGATCTGATAACAGCAGGGAACAAGCTGTTCTTAAATTTGTCTGTGTGTGTAATCAAACTTTTATTTCTTCTGCCGAACAGAAGAAGGTGGAAGAAAGTATAACCAGGGTGGGAGGGGTCTTTGATTGTGTTGGTTGCTTTGCTGATGCAGTAGGAACTATAAATGAAGTCAATAGATGGAAGGCTGGTTTGCATGATGGACTGGGCTGTGTTTATGACTCTCTGTAGTGTCTTGTGGTCTTGGGCAGAGCAGTTGAATACCATGCTGTGATGCATCCAGATAGGATGCCTTCCTATGGTGTATCTATAAAAAATTGGTAAGAGTCTTTATGGACCTGCTAAATTTCCTTCGCCTTCTGTGGAAGTAGAGGCATTGTTATGCTTTCTTGACCGTAGTGTCAGTGTGGGTGGACCAGGACAGACTGTTGGTGATCATCACTCCCAGGAACTTGACACTATCAACCATCTCCATTTCAGCACCATTGATTCAGACAGGGGCGTGCCCTCCATTCCATTTCCTGAAGCCAGCGACCAGCTCCTTCATTTTGCTGAAGTTGATGGAGAGATTATTGTCGTCCTGTACTCCACCTTGTTGTTTGAGATCTGACCTACAATGGCCGCATCATCAGCGAACTTGTAAATGGAGTTGGATTTTGAATGGAACAGACAAGAGCCTTTATTCGTGAGTCTACTTCGTGGTATTCCTCTGCCACTTTAGGTCAAGTAGGCCCTTTAACCCAGAAAGCTGGGATGGTGGTAGCTATCGACCTAACCTCAAGATAACAGTGGTTGCTGGCAGTGGTCATCCAGAGATTTGTTGCACCATCTGAAATGGCAGGCAGCAGTGCAAAATTCAGTTTAGTCACTCATAATGAATTCCAGCAAACCCAGAAGCAATTTCCAGTTCCAGCTTTAAGGGGGAACTTGGACAGTAAGCAGCAACAAGTAATAGAACAATCAAGCAGCCTTCAGAAGAAAGGCAAGGCCAGAGACTACAAGGCGGAATCTACAGACAAGGAGAAAGTACTTAAGCAAGTGTGAGGTAGAAACGATGTGGAGCTGGCGTATTGGTCACATCTGGCAGTCACAGATTGCTTTGGGTATTGATAAACTATAGGAGCAGTCCTGACAAGAGGTTCATCCACAGAGAGTGAATGCACATTGGAGGTTTTGTCAGTTGGAGTACAGTCCCTTCAATAGCATCACGTGAGTGCAGTTCTGAAGAAGGGTCACTGGACTCAAAAGGTTGGAACTATCCATATTCTCCACAGATGCTGCTAGACCTGCTGAGTTTCTCTCGCAATTTCTGTTTTTATTAGTTTCAGATCTCCAGCATCCACAGTCCTTCATTCGATTTTAAGTTTAGAGTGGAGAGACAGAGTGACCATTCTCTGAGTTTTGATATCTGCAAGGATGTTGCTGAGGATAAAAGGATTGAATCTTTGTCTCTGATGTTTGTAATAATATAATTTCAAATAGTGTATATAATGTAAAATAGTTTTTTTTCTTCTTTTGTGTGTCCTGTACCCATCACTAGTTCTCCATTGACAGAGGACTTGGCTAATGGGTGTGATATCTTTTACAGTAGGGACCTTTGGTCACTATCATTATCTACATGATATTGACAGGTTGATGGCAAGTGCTATGTTGAAATGTCATGTTGACAGGACCATCTAGCCACTGTAGTCTCTATCCACTTATGCAGTAAGATGCACAGTCTACATTCGACTGTCCTGCAATTTTGTCCTTGGGGACCAAGCATTATGTGACACCTATCTCCCCTGAATTGGCCACTGTGTGTTGCTCTACCACTAGCATGGAGCTCCAAATGGCACTTCTCAAGGGATTGTCAGTTGTACAAACTTCCCCTGTGTGAAGGAGAGATTTGGATGCACTCATCTGCTCTAAAGCAGAAATGCAGCATAACTCAGCTATTATTGGTTATATTGCACTTCCGACATTTTTATTGCAACAGAGTTGGGGGGTGTAAATAATAGAACCATACAGTATAAAGGAGACCCTTTCGACCATTGGTTCTGGGAGGACCTACCTGCACTAGTCATACTTTCCAGCATTTGGCCCATAGCATTGAATGTGTAACATTTCAAGTGCTCATCCATGTAGTTTTTAAAGGTTGTGAGGTTTCACCCCTCAACTACCTTCCAAGGCAGTGCATTCCAGATTCCCACCACTCTCTGGTTGAAAATGTCTTACCTCAAATCCCTCTAAACCTCCCGCCCTTCACTTTAAAATTATGCCCACTTGTTACTGGCCTCTCAGTTAAATGGAAAGGCTGCATTCTATTCACCCTGTCAGTATCCCTCATAACCTTTATACCTCATTCAATTCCCTCCTCAGCTTCTGTTCTCTAAAGTAAACATCCTGGGCCGATCCACCCTCTTTCCATAGCTGAGCTGCTTCATTCCAAGCAACATGCTGATGAATCACCTCTGTACCCCTTCCAGTGCAATCACATCCTTCCTGTAGTGCAGTGACCAAAACTACACACAGTGCTCGAGCTGTACTCTAACCAAAGTTTTGTACAGTTCCCTGCTTTTATAATCTATGCTACAGCTGATAAAGGCAAGTGTCCTGTATGCTTTCCTGTGGACAAGCACCCAAGATCCCTCTGTTCCTTTGCGCTTCCTAGTGTCCTGCCATTCATTGAGTGCTCCTCTATTTTGTTACTACTTCCAACGTGCACCTCCTCACACTTTTCATCTGCCACAATCTGCCTGTCTAACCAACCCATCTATATCATACTGTAACCTAAGATTTCTTCTTCACTATTAATGACCCAGACAATCTTTGTGTCATCTGCAAACTTTCTATAATTCTCCCCTAACATTCTGTTCTATATTGAACAGAATAGAATAGAATCCCTACAGTGTGGAAGCAGGCCATTTGGCCCATCGAGTACACACCAACCGTCCGAAGAGAATCCCATCCAGATTCACACCCCTACCTTATCCCTGTAACCCTGCATTTTCCATGGCTAATTTACTTAGCCTGCATATCCCTGGACACAATGAGAAATTTAGCAATGCCAATCCACCTAACCTGCATATCTTTGGATTGTGGGAGGAATGTGGAATACCCAAAGGAAACCCACGCAGACATGGGGAGAACATATAAACTCCAAACAGCCAGTCGCCCAAGGGTGGAATTGAAGCCAGGTCCCTGGCGCTGTGAGGCAGCAGTGCTAACCACTGAGCCACTGTGCAGTATATGGTTTATGGATATATCACAAACAATAAGGGATCCAGCACATATCCTTGTGGTACATTGCTGGGCACCAGCCCCTAGTCACACAAGTAGTATTCTACCACCATCTCATGTCTCCTAGCACTAAGTCAAATTTGGATCCAAGTTAACCTGGATTCTGCGTACTTTTACCTTCTTTATCAGTTTGCCATTGTCAAAAGTTTTGCTGAAATCCATATAACCTGCATTAACTGCACTTCCCTCATCTACACACCTGGTCACTTCATTGAACAATTCAGTCAAATCTGTTAGGCATGACATCCCTTTTACAAAGCATGCCACCATTCGTGATCAAACCTTGTCTGCCAAAGTGAAGAATAAGTCTCTCCTGCAGAATTTTCTCCAATAGTTTCCCTATCCCTGATGTGAGACTCAGTGGTTTATGATTCCTGGTTTTATTTCCACCCCTCTTCTTAAAGAGTGGAACTACATTAGCTGTTCTCCTGGCACCTGCACTCTGGCCAGGGAGGAATTAAAAATCTGGGTCAGAGCCCTTGTCATTCCCTCTCTTGACTCTCACAGCAACCTGGACACTGTGTAGACACACATCTTATTTTCAATTAAATTCAAAATTAGTGATGCAAATAATGCTGAGATAGCAATGTCACTTTTGTATCAGTTGCACACCAGTAGTAAAGCACAAACTTAATATTTTAAAATCAGAAATACTGTGATGGTTTTTAACGGAAGCCATTTTGTAAACTAAACCACAAATCTAGAGACCATAAATGTGCATGCATCTGCAGTGCTAATGATTACACTTCCAAGATATTTCTTTTTCTTTCCTTTAGTCTATCAATTTCTGGCAAGTTCTCGTGATGAGTGATGAACACACAGATCGGCGATACCTGCTTTTCTTTCTTCTGAGTTGGGGTTTACCAGCATTTGTTGTGGCTCTACTTGTAATTATCCTGAGAGGGGGCTATCACTGGACCATGCAAGAAATCTATGGCACTGTATATGGTGATGTGTGAGTATTGTACATTACACAATCATTATTAACCAGTTGATGAATTATAAACCTTTTAATAATTCCCGATTATAAGGAATATTTGATAATGTCAGATAATGATCCGCTTTCATTTTCAGAAAGTTTAATGAGAGTGAGTTGATCAAAAATAAGTAATGTTCTTGAAGCATGTAAGATATGTAATAGCTTCACTTTACCATTTCATATTCAAGCAGTTTCTGTGAGACAGAAAAAGCTCCCAGCTTAAGCATGAATTAAATTTTGTTGTTGAATCTAAAGCTTTGCTCAACCATAACTTCCTGTAATAAGACAGGGTGGGGAGGAATCTAGTGAGTACATTGCTGCTTCTAGAATTAGGTCAAATGGTTATTTATACTGCTTGGCGCAGAATTACCTCCTTCCTGTTTGTACTTTAGAATGCACAGCTACGTCAAACCAACATCTTAGTCTTAAGAAAGGTAATACCCGAAACGTTGACTGCTGTTTTCCTCCAAATATTGCCTGGCCTGCTGTGTTCTTCCAGCCTCCTGTTGTCTATGTTAAGCTATTTGTCAGTCTGTTCTTTGCAGCCCTCCCCCATAGCTTCATGCTGAAAGGCATTCAAAAACATATACATACATACTTTCCTGCAAACCTTTTATAGAAATTTTATATATTATGGTTCCTCAATAAGAATGTTTCGTTAAGAATATCTTCAAAACATCTACACTCAGTGAGAATTGAATGATAATGAGCATAAAGAGAAAATTTTGTCATTAGAAACTCTTGTTGGACATTTTGAAAGAATTGCAATTAACTTTAAGAGTGAACAGTTTCTTATTTTTTAAATCTTTGACCTAAGCGATGCGTAATTAATAACATTTCTCAAGATGATGCTTCATTCTGGATCACAGCTCTATTCGTCAGAGCAATTAAAATATAACAAGCTTTTTCTGCTTTCTCAAGTCTCACCGTCATCTGTTTAGATGTTGGGTTGGTGAGCACAGCTGACTGGACAGTTGGTTTGTGATGTAAAGCAATAGTGTGAGTTCAATTCCCATATCAATCAAAGTCAACATGAAGGCCCTGCCTTCTAAACCTTGTCTTTTGACCGAGGTGTGTTGGTCCTTAGGATAAACTCACCACCAGCTCTGTCATTCTCTGAGAGAACAGTCTATGATCCTCTGGGACTGTGGTGACTTTAACTTTCACTGTTCAACACCCATTCCACAACTGAAAGTTAGATAGAATGACCTAGAAATTGAGCCACATACAAATAAGAGCAGGAATAGGCCATTCGGCCCTCAATCCCACCTGCTATTCCAAATGATCATTGCTGATCTGCCTCAGTCTTCAACTCCGTGTTTGCGCCAGCCTCTCTTAGCCCTCAACTCCCTGCTGTTTCAAAAACTTAACAACCTACCCATTAAATACTTTAAGTGATCTAGCCTCCACAACTTTATGGGAGAGAATAAATTCCTTTTCACCTCAGTCTTAAATCAGTGTCCCTTTATTTTATAAATATGTCCTCTAGTTTGAGATTCATCGACTAGGGATATCCACCCTGTCTCGCCCCCTCAGAATCTTGTATTTTGTATCATTCCTACTTCTTCTAAACTGAAATCAATAAAAGCTCAGTTCTGAGGAAGGGTCACCGGACCCGAAATGTTAACTCTGTTTTCTCCTTCACAGATGCTGCCAGAACTGCTGAGCTTTTCCAGCAACTTTGTTTTTGTTCTCAATAAAAGACTAAGCTGTTTAGCTGTTTTTTAAAAGACAAGCCCTTCATCTGAGGAATTATCCTAGTAAATTTTATTTGAACTGCTTCAAATGCCAGTATATCCTTTCTTAAATAAGGAGACCATAACGTATACAGTACTCCAGGTGTGGCTTCACCAACACACTGTACAGTTGTAACATGTTTTCCCTATTTTTTAAACTCCAATCCCCTGGGTATTTAAGGTCAGCATTCCAATTGCTTTCTTAATTACTTGTTCTACCTGCATATTAACTTCTTGCACAGGAAGTTTCATGCACAGGAACACCTAAATCCCAATGTGCTGCACATTTCTGGATAGTGTTTCCATTTAAGTAATAGTCTGCCTTTTGATTCTTCCTGCCAAAGTGCATGACCTCACATATTCCTATATTAAACTGTATTTTTGTTTCTATTCACTCAACCTATCTATACCCGCTTGCAGATACCTTATGTCCTCATCACAATATGCCCTCACAGCTGTTTTTGTATTATCTGCAAATTTGAATGTATTCAACTCTGTCCCCTTCTCCTAGTTATTAATATAGATAGTAAAAAAATGAGGCTCCAAGACTGTAGCACTCCACTAGTTACATCTTCACAACCTGAAAAAGGCCCATTAATCCCAACTGTCTGTATTCTGTGTGTTACTCATCCCCAATCTAATCTAATAAATTATTATGATACTGTGAGCTCCAGTTTATTCTTAATGGACCAGACCAAACCCTTCCAAATATGCCAAGGAGATAACCTAGACCCTAACTTTCTCTTATTTAAAGGCGAGTTTAAGGCGTTTCCATTAGTCAAACTACTAGGCTTTAAGCAAGACACACTTTAAGCAAAAGTGCCTATAATAATTTATTATTCAAATTATACTCATTAACTGTTCTAATTTAGCAGCATCCTATAAACGCCCTTGGCAGAGGCAAACTGAAAGGAAAACACGAGCCCAGCAGTAAGGGGAGAACACAAGCTCTTGCAGCTTTTGGTGACTTCCTCCAAAATCACCATCTCTTTAAGACTGTCGTATGTTTGATCTGTTTACAATGTCTTTATCTGCCTGTCAAAGTTACTTTGTTTGACCCTTTCAAACTCAATGTATGCTTGACCAGGTTCCCTCCTTAGATTCCTAAAACATTGTCTGTAGGCTTCTGGTACAAGCTCATATGTATTTAAGATGACTCTTTTCACCTCATCATTCTCCCCAGATACCTCCTCTGATAGTGATTCAAGTACCTCACTACCTCTACATACCAACTTTGTTTGGATTAGCAATGCTAATGTGGTCATCAGCCACTTCATCTGTTTAGCCACTTTCTCAAATGAAATGAAAAAAGGCTTCCAAGTCCTTCTTTTCGGACTTAGGCAACATTTGGACTTATTTAAAGAGATCCCCACCAGGCCTTTGACTATGGTGGGATTGCTGTCCATCACTGTCCTCATCACTGTGCAGTAACCCTTTACGTAGCATCTTACTAAATACCTTGTGGAAATCTAAGAACACCACACCTACTGGCTTCCCTTCATCAACTCTGCTTGCTATACCCTCAAAGAACTCTGACAAATTCTTCAAACATAATTGCCCCTTCACAAAATCACGTACAATCTGTCTGATTGTATTAGTTTCCTAAATGTCCTGCTATTTCTTCCTTAATAATGGTCTCTAGCATTTTCCCAACAACAAATGCTAGACTAACTGGCCTATAGTTTTGTGCATTCAGTCTCCATCCCTTCTTGAACAGCGGTATCACATTAACAGTTGGTCAACTGCTTAAACCCTTATAGAATCCAGAGAGTTATGGAATGTTTCAAGCAATGCCTTCACTATCTCTGAGCTACTTCCTTTAAAACCCTTGGATGCAGGCCATCAGATTTTAGTAATTTACCTGTTTTCAGTCCCATTTGTTTGTCAGGTATATTCTTCCCTAATGACAGAGACTATTTTTCCCATTCCCACTTTGTTTATCTGATATATTTGGGTGTTTATAGTGTATTCCACTGTGAAGATCAATGCAAAATATTGTTTGAAATGATTAAATGACCTGATCTCCTACGTGTCCTGATCTTTCTCACAAAATGATTCACCTCAGTTTCATGGTCCGACATTACACCCCAAGTCTCAGAAATGGTGAGAAAGAAGTGTCTAGGCATTTCTTACTGAAAATTTGACAACTGCCATATTGGGTAAGAACAATCTAGAAACACGCTTTACAATTGTTTGAGTCAAGCAGCCATCAGGTTTTCTGCATAAGTAAATAAAGGCACTCAAGTCCCGGTTAAACTGCTGGCTTGCCTTAAGGTAATCATCATCACTGATTACTCTCCAAGGTATGTATTTCCCTCGACCTATATCACTTGCAACCACCTAATAGTCCATCATTTACAGGCAAGATTCCTACTGCTCCACCATTCATTAAGTTCTGAAATTTCCTTTCTAAACTTCTCTAGCTCTCTTTCTCTCTCTCTCTTTCTCTTTCTTTAAATTGCTCCAAATGTCCTTCTTGACACAAATGCAGACTTTTTAAACACCACTAATCACACTATCCATCTCTAATTCCCCTGCATATACTGTTCAGCCAGGTGATATTGTAGTCACCTGACCACTTCCCATACATCAGTAAGAACACCGATATCCACCACCAATGAAAAATAACATGACACCATTCTTGCCCAATTTGTCTACTACTGAAACCCTAATACACATCTTTGTTTACTGTAAACTTGACCACCTGACCAGCTTCTCACACTCTACCCTCTAGAAGCCTGAGATCATCCAAAACTGCTGATGGGTGGCACAGTGGCTTGATGGTTCACACTGCTGCCTCACAGCACCAGGGACCGGGGTTCAGTTCCAGTCTTGGGTGACTGTCTGTGTGGAGTTTGCACATTCTCCTTGTATCTGTGTGAGTTTCCTCCGGGTGCTCTGATTTCTCCCCACAGTCTAAAGCTGAACAGATTAAGTGGATTGGCCTTGCTAAATTGCACATAGTGTCCAGGGATTTGCAGGCTAGGAGCAGATTAGCCATGGAAAATTTTGTGGTTGCAGGGATTGTGTGTGTGTGTCTTCGGAGGGTCAGTATGGACTTGATGGGCCATATGGCCAGCTTCCACCCTGTAGGGATTCTATATCCTAATTCGCATTGTCCTTTCTCCACCATCTCTTGTGCCAAGACCAGCATGCATACCCCCAGTGTAGTCAGTGAACCTTTTTTTATTCATTCAAAGGATGAGAGCATTGCTGGTGGACCAGCATTTATTCCCATCTCAAA